GAGGGTAACGAGGGCGCGCCGCGAACATGTTATCGACGGGTGACGAGGAAGTCCCTGCACGGTCCATGCCCGAAAACCGAACGGACGGGGAGACCTCTCTCGCGCTCAAACCAAAAAGGAGAAAAGGACAACTCCGGCTTCAGTATACTATTCGGGTGTTAACTCATAAATTCGCATAGCGACGCCCTTATGTCTGCAAACGATCGGCTTACGGCAACGCGCAATTTCTGGTGGAGTCACAGCCTAAAACCTTGAGACTAAAACTCAAACAGAGTACCGTCAGATCCCAGTATTCCCTGTTTGGGTCCCCTGAAATGTGAAGGAGAACTTATGGCAGCCAATAAATGTTTTTCTTGTGGATTTATGATCGATGAATAATAACCACGGAAGACAGAACAGACACAGAAAGTAGACATTTGAGGGAGTGCCCCGGCGAGAAAAGAGACTTAGCGGGAGACGCCCAACGCTTGTCAATTACAGGCCAAATAGAGCACATCCGTAAGGACGGGTTACAGAGATGGTGAAATTCAAACTAGTAGAGACCAATGTTCAATACCTTATGATTTATTTATTCATAATTGAATTGGAATGGGCAATGACCGACGCGAGTATTCTACTATTCTTATTCTTTATTACGCTAACTTGTCCAAAGTAATATAGTTCACTCAAATAGCGATAATCAATCTCCGCATGTAAAATAGTCGATACAGGACGTGTGTCAATGTTAATGATGTAGATCCTTGTCTTAACAGGTGGGGTAAAACAGAAGATTATCAATGATTGTAATCTATTAAAACTACTCTATGACGTTTGTCATTTTTAAAGGGACCAAAAGTAAAAGGCTTACGTTGCATCACGGAATCGAATAAAGCACTCTACACCTTAATATAAGTTCAATCAATCTACATATAGCAAACCAAGAAAAATTGTAATTTTTGTTCAATTTAAAAAGTTTCCAGGAACACAAAAAATAGCCCCGCCCTCCGGGAAAAGTCAAATCTCGTATCGGGGAGCTTTACAGACACGGTGTGCAGGGAGCGAGGATCATGATCTGAGGACCATCCTACCCAATTTGTCGTCTCTGTGTTAAAGTGACACACACGAGCGTACGGACACTGGGTAATTGTCTCCGCAAAAGCTAGGGGAGGTGTATGATTTTTATATATGATAATTGTCTTTTCTCTTTTGGGACCGTGAGTTAATGAGTCAATGGTCAGGAGTGTTGAACCATAACCTGAGCTGGTGTTATTTTCTTATACCTAACCATGTCTTCAGTCATCTCAGTTTTTGTAGAATGGACCAAGTGGAGTCAAACGACGTGTAGGACGACGGGCGTCCTTCGGGGTTTGCGTCTTGAAGGCGCTAATAAAAAGTTTCCCGTAGAAGGAATAGGTATTCCGGCGACGAAGAAGTCAGGAGCGTGTCCTCCCCGTCGAAGAACAGTGCAGCCAAGTTTACCACCAAAGGTGCGTAGAGAGAGGTGGCGCAGTTGTCTCCTTCCCCTTATTTATATGACTCCCGTGGAGCGGAGTCTAGCAGATCCCTAAAGCGCTCCCGCGCCCGGAGGGGCCACCATAACGTCCCAAAGAGACCGCTGGACAGAAAGGGGCAGAAGTGTAGATGAGTTGGTTCTCCGCGCCAAGCGGGAACCTTCAAGACGAAAAGTACTCCGAGACACCGCTAATAACGGACTCTGCCATCACTTACGCGAGCCGCCATGCTCTGCGCGCCGCCAACAGCAAAGTCTTCAAGTTTCTAACCCAAGTGTGCGTGTGGCAAGGGGGAGTGTCGCCTGAAGTCTCGAAGCAGATTGTGTCATAGCATACAGGACACCGAAGAGCCTCAAGTATGTTAAAAAGAGACCGCACGGTGGCAGAGACCGATGCTCGTCTGAATTGTTGATGGCCGACGGAGGCTCGCACAACATATGTAATTGAAAGTAGTTTACCCAAACCAAACGAAGCGTGAACTAAAAAACGGTTTTGGTTCAGGTGAATGAGTTTGCTAAGTACCTGTGCCGTATCTACATTACCGTCAATAGATTTTTGTCGTCGAGTTGCCAGATTACGCTGGAGAGATTACAGGTTGCAGATCCCTGCGTCTCCCCGTGCCGCGAGCGCTTTTCGTTAATCTCCACTCGCACGTTACGTGTTGACAAGGGAGAAGTCCGAAAGGTCCGAACTTGCACACCTTAACATACTACGTAATGTTCTGTGTGGGAATGTGCGTCAGACAGACTAGCGCTGACTAATGTTTGGGTCTGGTCGGGGACTTGAATCTGCGACCATACGGCTCCCAGTCCAAGCCCCTACTGACTGAGCCACTGCCGGACATACAACATAATTGATTCCAGCTGTTCTTTTATGATTTTTATATTTAGTTTACTCTGTCCTTATGTGTCCAATGTAATCTATTTGTGTTCTTATAGGATCACGTTTATGCAGCAATGACTCGGGTATAACTCATGACACTGGTATGCACTCTTCTTTAATAATATTTACAGTTGTGATTCAGTATTTTTATCAGCAGGTAGCATGATTGCTGCACAGGAAGGTTCACTGAATTAATACAGCGTGCTCTTTATCTTAAAGGTGTTGCATACGTTTTATATAAGGGAGCACCCTTATTAAAAAATGTACTCTTTATATAATTATATATTGGCTGTATGTCCCATGTTTCTCTAAATATAAGAGTTCTCGCAATGTAGGTATATTAGGTATTAGATCATCATGTTCATCCATTATTCCTCACTACATTTGGAAAAGTCACGTTAAACATTGAATTGTACATCTTGTGTAGGAACACCCTGGATGTGTCCACAAAAGCACGCTGAAGCTTACAGTATGTAGAGTTGCTTCTAGTTAAGGAGAGAGAAACGTATAAGACTAAATAATTGTAAAGTTTTCGGTAACTTCAGTGCTTGAAGTACCCTTTATTTGTGAGAGAAGTAAAAAAAAAACTAGTCTGCTTCTGAGTCACAAATATGGCTGCAGCAGGTAACGCACCATACTAATAATAATATTGGAGTTATTTGTCAAAACAAGTCCGCAAAAGATCCAGATCCAGATAAGTCACTTGATTAATTGCAAAATGATATTTTCAAAGAAAACGCCAATTATATTTTAGTCTAAGCATTTATATTGTAATAACTTTGTTTAGTAGAGACTGAAGTGCCATTTAGGAAATTTCAATATATTTAAAGACAGAACAACTTATGATTAATTGATGATGAAAACAAAACATTAATACTTAACATCTTTCTGAACCTCTCTCTAAGAAAACACTTTTTCTGTGGTAATGATGAGGCCTTGTGAATCCTTAAGAAAACGAAGAACGAAGAATTCCAGGTGTGTTCCTGTTTTAACTATTCCTTATCCGTTCCAGACAGCCTTATAGCATCTTGCCCCGTGCCCTCTAGGGAGTGAGCATGTGTAATGCCTTGCTCCTAAAGCAGAGAGGATTCTCCTGAGAAGAAAAGAGCCCTATGACAGAGGAGAATAGATTTGACTTAACCATGACTTTTTGACTCGGGTCACCTTTTTATCTAAAATTCCTGATAGTTGAGTCTGTACTTTTGCATGAAAATAGTTTAACAGTAACACTAGTAAGACCATTTGAAAATAATTGACACAGACTGGGTGATATTTTGGTTTCATGACAGTTTCTTTAATAAAAAACAGGATCCTCACATGAGATGTTCATGATGGAATCAACACAGGTTTTCTTGTTGTCTCCCTGCCTGGATATAATACCTTTGTGGATATTTATTTATTTTAAGTCCAGTGAGTTTGGCGTGTGAAAGAGAATGATTACTGTCGGTCGTCATCACTTCTCCTTTCTTTCGGCTCTGGTTTCTGATGAATGCAGAAAGCCACAGAAGGAGAGATGAAGGGCCGGTGGGGTCATCACATCCTCGCGACGGGGTTGATTCCCAGGATGTCGAAGCATTTGGCCATGATGGCCGCCGTGGCTTCACAGAGCAGAATCCTCGACATGTTGACCTTCACCACCTTACCTGCAGACACAAACAGAGATTTCAGAGAGAAATTATAAACACTACAAAAAAATAATTGTACAGTTTGAATTACTTCTTACTTTGAATGTTTTCTTTGAACTGCTAAATGTGCTAAAACAAAATGTGCTAAAGCTTGCCTTGCCTTGAAAAGAGCAAAACAAGACACAAAGATGAGGTGAAGGAGATCAAAGAAAGAGGAAGAGAGAAACTAAACAGAAACTGAGAAGCCAGGCCGATTGAGGAATGGAGAGAGAGTCAGAGGTGAAGCACAGAGAGATAAGAACAAACAGCAAAAGGTCAGAGGTCACTTTTAATCGCACAGCTCTAGCACACACCACAACATTAAACGAAAGTCGATGACCCGGACATCTGCATCAACACACGCAACACCCATGACTGTCCACCCCATCAGGACAAATGGCTACGCGGAGCAGAAATCCAATAGAAATTAAGTGTGTAATGAGCAGCGGAGGGTGAATTAAATAGACGGGCTGTTTAAGGGGCGGGCGCGTCGATGATCTTTGACAGACAGCAAAATGAGTCGGTAATTTTCACAAACAAGCAGACGCATCCAAGTATACAGAGTGAGGACCGAGGGCTGCTGACGCTGAGGGCGAGCCGAGGAGAGAGAGCTTTTATAAAAAGATAACAGAGGCTATAACCCAACCGCTTGTGTCCTTACTTTTTGGGAAAACTTAAAGGACATAGTAGTTGCTATATTGCTATATATAGTAGTTGTAGTCTGCTTCTGCGTTTAGTCGGTGATTCAAAGAATATATATATTTTTCAGTTTTTATTTTCTGGATAAGGGCTTTATCCATCATGAGTCTTAAAGTAGCTCTACTAAAGTGGTTGGTCTCCTGGCATTAGTGTAATTCAAATGTTATTAGCGTTAAAACTATCCCTAAATAGAAAATAAACCGGGGGTCCTCTTGTGTACATAATAATAATAATTACAGTAGACGTGGCTGATTTTCTTTACCTCTACAGTCTTGGTTATGTGAAAAAAACACTTAAGAAATATATTTGGAGGTAAATAATTATGAATAAAACATTTTAAACTTGATATATCTGCTGGATTAGAATATAATCTTTGAAAAAAAAAAAAAAAAGAATAGTGGTGTTATGATCATGAGAGACTTCAACTAAAGTGAGGAAGGTAAAAATAATCTTTTCTAGTTTTCTTTGCCATGTTGAGGATGTGTTTCTACACACACCCTTTTGAAAGAGGTTTACATAAGCAGTTCGTTAAGCCAACAACTGAAACTGAGTGCAGTCAGGCTCATGATCTGAGTCTCTATTCACTTTCTATATGCTTTCTAACAAAGCTAAATAATGGAAAATAACCTACAGCAGACGTTACTCCCATAGCGCTAATGGAGAATTTGCATAATTAAGCAGCTCCTAAACTGAAGTTGTAGCACTTCAGCGCACCGCAGGGACAGAATGCTAACGGGAACGAGAGGAGTGCTAACAGCGTTCAGATGGCGTTTAGTGGAAAGCCTCTCCCGGTGAAACCTCATTTGAATTGCCTGAGTTCCCCCTCCAGCAGAACATTTCCTGCTCTTTGGTTCTCCTTTTGCACTTTTGACCTTGATGTCAGTTACCTGTCTGTCGGTCCTTCTCCACGCAGTAGCAGCTGTCGTAGAAGTCGGTGAAGGTGGTGGCGAGCTCGTACAGGTAGTCGCAGAGCGTGTGCAGCATCAGGCTGTCCAGGATCTTCTGCAGGATCTCTGGGAAACGGAGGATGACCTTCCCCAGCTCCCACTCCGCCTCGTGCTCCACCAGAACCTCGGTGGTCTCCGCGGCCTTCTTCAGCGCCGCCTCGTCGATGTTAGCCAGGCGGACGATGGACCTGAAGGGAATCAATAGCAAAAGAAGAACATGTCACATTAGCAGAAATGTTAAGATAGGCTATTTGCTGCTTTTGTCTTTTTTATAATTATTGGTAGTTTCAGGCTGGTGAAGAAATGGAGAAAAGTAATTTAATAATACATGAACATGCAATTAAAGAAAGTCCCAACAGTTTTATTTGTATTTGGCCTGAATACTTTAATATGTTATTAACACCCCACTTTTAAATGGTCTTTTAATATGTGGTTATTTTTATATTATTTATATAATTATTTATTTAGTTATTTATAGATTCCCTTTTAAGTTGGTGTTTTATTCATTTGACCTTTACTAATCTTATTAACTATTACAAGTGTATTATTAATGGGTTTTATTTTATCCTATTTATTGACTTTGTCTTCCTTTATTTTACGGAGAGGGATCACCATGTCATTGTGTTTTATTTTGTATTAATATAAATTATACTGCTGTGTGTCTTAAAGTGTTTTTGCTGCTTCTAAAACTCTGGTTGTGTTTTAAAGTGTGCGTTGTTGAAGCACTTTGAGCTGCACCTGTTTCATGAAAATTGTTATACAAATAAAGCCTATTATTATGATATTACCTTTAACAGCTTTTAGAGTGTCCATTTTGTTATTTTTCAAAAGATTTAATTGGAAGAACAAGATAATCGATAACTGAAATAAATATTTGCACCTGTACTGTCTTCTAAAATATATTCAGCACAGACTCGAAGCATTTGGCTGCGTGGTTGTGTCTTTTCCTGACTTTTCTCCGACACTTGAACACCCCGCAGCGTGGGGGCAGCTGCCACCAGTGAGTGCTCTATTGACTAAAACGTAGGAACATCGAATCCTCTCAGGCGAAAACTGCTGAAAAAAGAGCAGATCAATCTCAGCCGGGCTCTGTGCCACCCTGAGTCTCACACCTCGGGGGGGGGGGCGGCGGCGGGACATGGCCACTCGATGCAGGGATAAGGGCCGGGGAGAAATGGGGTCTTGCTGATTGGAAAGACCCCAAATACTAATCCTTCGCCACAAGCTCCCACGAGAGGCTGATCTGATCATGAAAGTGTACCGGTGCTGCAGGAGGGTCTCTAACGAGGAAGAGTGGAGAAGAGGAAGCAGAGGAGGGAGAACACACTTTCAGTAGTTCAGCTATCTTACTCCATAAACTGCCTGAACACTGTCCTCTCTCTTCTGCATCCTCATATTTGAACTAACTCATCACCATGTGTTCCCCAACCAAGCCTCAGCGTCACATCTTTCAACTAAACTTAAGGCTCATTTCTTTTGAAAAGCCCCACTTCACAAAGCCTGTAAGGACCAAGATAAATGATGAATCTGAATGGATGTGCTTAGGGTCATATTTCCGACACATTTGATTTAACTTTAAAGTAAATGGTCATATTGTTATTACTTGTCTGTAGTAATATGTTTTGTAAGCATTCCTTCTTATTTTTGAATAGTTTGTGAATTTGTTATCAGATGTGTTCTATACTTGCTCCTGTTTCTTACTACCTCTTACTTTGTTTATGTTTGCGCCGCTACGCTATAGCAACTCCCCTCTTTGTGTAAACCGACTTTGAAAAAAACAGTTTGTGATTTTAGTCCTTGAAGTAATTAATTTAAAATTTGACAATTCTTTATTTATCTGAACTTCTTTGAACGTTAACATAGATAAGTACCGTTTTATTATTATAATCTTCAATTTAATGATTTGTCAGTGTATTGAAGTCGCTTCGGAAAAAAGCCTCATGTAACGTCTATATTCCCGCAGCCAGATAGAGGGCTGGTTGAGAATAGCTGCTGTATATAACCCTGATGCATTAGTGGCTAGAGTAAACATCTAATGCTCTGTAAGACAAACCCATACACCAGATCATACAGTTCGATTCAGCTCCGGCCATGTTGTTTTTACGTCCAAGGTGAAATCAGAATTGGTCTTCAACTTGCAAAACATGTTCAGTGGAGAAGCCGAACGTTTCAAGATGTCTGTATATAAACTTCTGCACCACTATCATTCATAAAGTGGTTGTTGGAGTGACCCCTGACCTGATGCGGGTGAAGGCGTAGAGCAGGTAGGCGGCCGTGTTGCCCCGGTCATCCAGCATCTTGTCGAAGGCGAAGACGTAGTCGTTGCTGCGGTTGTGGGACAGGTCGGCGTATTTGATGCAGCCGAAAGCCACAGACCTCTGGGCTTTGGTCAGCTCCTCGGGGGTCAGCACCTTCAGGAAGACAATTGCAGCTCAGTCAAGTTTCATCTACAACACCCCCCCCCCATACTCCCTCCCACAATTATCTTTAAGGCATTCAATATTCTGATAACTCTGTAGCTTTTATCATCTAGTAATTACTGCAGGCGCTGCGTCACCTTATGCTGCCAATAGTAAAACCGGTGGGTTGAATTTAATCCAAATGATGAAGAATGTCATTTAGTAACCTCAGGCAAAGATTAAATTGACTTATTAAGTCATCGCCTTCCCCCTGAATCTGCGCGTCTGATAACACAGGGAGTGAAAAGAGTGAGGAAGAAAGTTTTATGATGGTGATTCAAGTGGAAAACAAAAGCTTTCCGTTAAACAGACAGCACATACAATTAAAGGGACAGGACGTAATGTATTATTATTTTTAAGAATTTGAATAAACACGACAGGAAGAGACAGAACAGCCAAGCAGCTAACGTGACAGGAACAGAGGAAACATGACGTGAAATAATAGAAAAAAACACGATGTGAGACAAATGTATAGTGTCATTTTAGGAAATTATGCAAATGGAAGGAAATAGTCTATTTTCTGGGACGTTTGTCTGCAACTGATTAATACGCATTTGGTGCTTCAGTGGGCATTTAGGGCAGCAAGACAGTATATGTAGGATTTTTTCAAAACGAACCACGTGTTTTGTGTGTGTGTGTGTGTGTGTGTGTGTGTGTGTATGGAAATGAAGGAACATGCTGTCCAGTGCAACAGTGCGGCTCATTGATGGGTTTTTAATAGTTTTTGGACAACAATGGAGCTCAGAGGAAGAAGACGTAAGGCTTTGCAACCTGCACGATACTTGCCATAGTGTATAAAGGAATAGTTGGTTCAGGTATTTCTTCAGAATGAATCTTTGTAGACCTTATCAAGCAAAAATGCCAATCACTCTTTTGCTTTCAGCTTCTCATATAAAGTGTGTTTTTCTCCGTTTGATATCTTGTACAGTAAATGGATCATCTGGACAGCTTGATCAATCAAAATCAGTCAAATCCAAAATGGGAAGAATCTGTCTTTCACTGTCAATTTAGCAGAAGTGCACTCAAAACACTTTAGTCAACAAATTCACTTTTTCTATATGCACATCAGAAACTAATGAAAAGCATCAAAAATAAAAAAAAACATGTCCTTTCAATAATTAAACTGAGCTTCTTTTGCATTTCTCCAGTACAGAACCGCCAGAGGTTTTTGTATACCTAAAACCGCCACCGGGTCAAATTGACCCGCTATTAGAATGCATTGATTTTCAAGGTAAAATATTATTTTCTTGAATAGTGAGTTTTGATCGCACAAGGATGAAACGTATACCAATAGAATCTGTGGACTCTCAGCTTTTGCCTCCTGTACATTCATGAGTCTCTTTCTTTTGTCCATTTCGGAAATATGACTGGCTCTCTATCTATAACTCTCTATCTATAACTATCTATAACTCTCTATCTATCTCTCAATCTATAAGGAACCGCAGTAGGTAGACAAAATGCGTTGCTAAAGCAACACGTCATGTTTATGCGCGAAATCAATAGCGCGAAAAGGGGTGGGGTCAATATGACCCGCCGGGCGGAAATAGGTATAAATGGCAATTTTTTTGTCGATTTCTTCAATCTGACTTCATATTGGCACATTTTAACAACAGAGGGTGCTACATAACACACTTTCAGGAAAAGTCACGGACTGGGAGACTAATATTTTATTGAAAAAAAGTTACATACAATAAAAAAACAGCTGTGGGTCAAATTGACAGAACGGTAGGGGAAGATGGACTTTTATTAATCCCTTGTGGGGAAATTGTTTCTCTGCATTTGACCCATCCTAGTGTTAGGAGCAGTGTGCTGCCATTTTGAACGGGTAGGGTAGGGTACGGTGCCTTGCTCAGGGACACCTCGGAAGCACTTGGTCTTGCCGGGACTTGAACTGGTGACCTTCCAGTTGCCACGCCAACTCCCTATCGACTTCGCCACCACCGCCCTGAAGAACACTTGGGGCATGACCAAAACAATTTGGGATCCACTCAGTTAATCAATAATGAAATCATTGTTTTATTTCAACTAATGTTTATGGTCATTTTTGCTAAATATGGCGATTATTTTCTCGACATTTGATCCCAGAGACCAAATTGAGGCCTTCAAATTATTTGTAATGCCCACAAAAAGTCAAAAAACCTAAAGAAATGATATTTGGTGTCAAATATAAAGCAGAAAATCCTGATCCTTTGTGATGATCTGCATCTATCATGATAGTCCATTCATCAGTTACACAATTATTGGATTAGGGATATGATAGGATCAAAGAGTTCAGGCGACAGGACTACACAAGAGGGCAGGGATGTTTAAGACAACACTCTACATAACAGGATGAACACATATAGAACAACTAATTATGACAGAGGAGTAAATAATTTAAGACAGTAGAACATAGGTGCAACTGAGACTAACTAATGGTATCCGCAGAGTAAGAGGCTCATGTGTGTTCGGTGTGTTTTAATGAGGCAGGGTTAGCAGATGGTAGACGTGGGCACCGACCCAGACATACAGCACAGGGCCAGACGGGCCTGCAGGGAAACTGCGCTGGCACCAGAACCTTCTCAGCATTAAAATCATTGTAGTTCAACTGGAAGTCACCCACTGTTTACACTGCACCGAGTACTCCAGATCATACTTAACCGGGGGAGGTTCTGTTGTTTTTTTAGCCTAATTTTTTCCCCCTCTGCAAGTTTCCGATACAAACCCTTCAACATCAGAAGGGGCATACACTCAAATTAGCAGAAGCTGTCAGGATTCTCTGTGTGAAGTAAAGGGAAAACAGCAGCCAACGATTGCCTCGGGAAGAATGAAGTTTGTTACTTTCTAGGTTGAATCAAGAGGAGCTGGATCAATCTGAGGTAAGGAGGTGAACAAAAACAACTTTGCATTCCTGAACATACACTTCTTTGTAACAAGGTCAGGTTGAGCTGCGGTGATGAAGACGTGTGTTGCAGCAGGGAGATACCGGCAGCTGAGTTTGGGTGATCTGTTAGCGAGAGTCAGGGCGCTGCTGGGGAAAACACAACGCACACTTATCAAGCCTTCCACTGAAGAAAAGCTACAGAGATGGTGATTGTGGAGAAATCCCAGACACAACAAATGGTCTTTGATGGTTTCATTAATTAAATGTCAGCGGAAACACCTCCGCAGCAAAAGCTTGAACTCAAGGAAGAGAAATATCAGCTGCAAGGCTTTATGGTGTTGGTTTGCCTTTGTTCCAGCCTGAAACCTCCATAAATACTTGGATGGATAGCTTTCAAATGTGGTATTAAAGTTGCAGTAGCATCCATGTTCATCATAATGACTTTGAGATCCCTGACTTTCCATCAAGTGGCATAATCTGGTTAATACTTTGATTTATGACAAACTTCCTGCAATACTAACGACATCCTCATTAGCCTCATGTGCAGGTTTATTCCCAATTAGCAAATGTAACCATTAGGGCTGCACCATTTGGGAACATTAACTAATTGTGATGATTCTGACTGATATTGCCGGTGCGACAGGAATTGCGACATGGAGAGGGAATTATCATTATTTTTAAACATCATTACTTTTATCGTTGCCAAACAGATTTAGATGATCATGGTGTGATTTCTTTAGGAAGATCTGTACAAAACAAAAATATTTCATTAAGTCTTTAGAATACCATTTGTTGACCAGGGCAGCCACAAAATAACTAATATATATATACAAGCCTATATATGTCAGCATGCTAATGTTAGCATTGAGCTAAAGATATTTAATTGTTTTTTCTTAAATTGTACTTTGTTTACTTTGTGATTTAGAGCAACCATCGGCAACACATACTCTGAACTGGAGTGACATCTCATTATCTCATCATGGATTAAACCAAAAGCAGATCTTCCTATGGTCCTAGTCTCATTTTAATGAGGTGTGATCATTTAATGCTTTCAGCTGATGAGGTTTTTTATCACCGCCGAGTATAATCCATTTCCAGTCCGTCAGTTTTTATCTTTTAGTTAGAAATCAAACAAGACAGAAATAGCATGTGTGTGGCTGCAGACATGAGGAGGTTAAAGCTCACACAAGACTCAGGTAGAAAAGAGCAGCATGATGAAACGATGAAGAAGAGGAAGAGAAAACTTGAGTGTGTGTTCCTCCATCATCCCAAAACCACAAGATGTTCACGAGAGACCAATCAGTCGGCTTGTTCTCAGAGCTCAACAGAAAATAAGTTCTGGTAGCATTTTTTTTATATCAGAGATGCAGCGGTCTATTGATGTGATGGGAAAGATCCAGAGTTGAAATCTCTTGGTGCAGGGTGAGCACGAGAAGGATACATGTAGAGTCAGATGATCATTACTGTAAAGTGAGCATCCTCAGAAACTGGAAAATATAATGAGCTGCTCACTGGACGGCTTACTAAAATCCTTATATGAAAATCTATACCACATTGATTGACAAATCATATAATATTTGCCAAAATGAGTTGGACTGACAGATATGATATGAAAACAATTAAATCCCTGCTTTAAAACTGAATAATTGAAGTCCAGAAATGGTGTTATTCTTCTCCGTTTAAGTTTTTTTTAATCTTTAACAGACCAAAGAGACCAAGAGTTGTATCAAGCAGGAAAAAAAACTTTACTCTGAACAAAATCTATTCAACCTCATACCACTCCCAACCATAGCTCCCAACATAACAGGTGTCAAGTGTGTTTTAAAGCATATTGTCACCACTAGGGGGCAGCAGAAGCTCTGTCTGAAGGGACTTGGCTTGGGAAGTGAAGGGTTGCTGGTTCAAGTCCCAATGACACCCATCAAATTAAAACGTGTGGACGGGTAGCCAACACTGGTATGTGTTAGTGTATATCTGTATTCAGACCTAATGTGGTCCCGTGCATGTGGGTATTTGAACTATGTAGGAAATAACAGTGAAAAATATACAACAACAGAATAAAGGACTGAATTCCCCCAAGTGAATGAATAAAGGGTCAGATTCTTCTTTTAGTTATGAGTCAGGGCCAGCAAGAGAATGAGACTGCTTTTAAGGCTTTAGCTGACCTGACTCAGCCCCCAAGTGATACGATTCAGAGCATAATTAGGAAAACATCTTGAATTTCAATCTGAAGAAGATAAATATATATGCATTAGATGTTTTACAGGAGCCACAGTCGTCTTTTTAGTTGTATTAGAAAAGTTTTTTTTTTGTAGAGACAAGTGTTTAAAATGCAACAAAGCTCCAAGCTGGAATCCTACTGGTTGCCTTGCAGTGATGTGATATGAGAAGTACTTTAGTTCAATGAACAGCCATGCAATTGTTTATCAGACCGATGCTCTCTGTTTGAAAAGAGATGGAGGTCAAAGTGAGGGAGGATGAAAAGGATAGACGATTCTGATTCGCTGGCATGTTTCAGACATTTGATGTATTTCCACCTTAAGGCTCTGCTGAGCCAGTGACCCTGGCTCAGGGGTCACTTCACCCCAAAAGATGGTTTATTTTATACAGATTTCCAGCTATTTGAGATGTCTTTAGTAAAGGAGCAATGATATGTAATGTGAGCTGCCCACAAGTATACGATAATAATAATAATTGAGAAAAGTAATCTTTCCAGAAACAATGCCCCTGTTTGACAAAAACATTTAAAATAATTGTTCACTTTTCTCAGAGCTTTTAGTCTAATCTCATGGGCTTCATTCACAGATTCCAAAGAAATATAGTAAACAGACCTTATGTTGTGAATAATTTGTCACACTACCACAACCTAATTATAAGGTCAAGAATTACCTTTCAATTTCTCCAGTTAGTCGGAACATTTTCTAATTATAAAGTAGTTCTTATATGGATTATCTCAAATCAAATGACGAAGAAAATGGAAAGAAATGGTTTCATGATTCTGTGAGCGTCACAAGTGAGATTCACCTCCACTAAATGGGACGGCGGCAGAAATGTCAGACAGTAATATCCTAAAAACCGGGACAAATAAAACCAAAGCTGTCTGGATGGCTAGACACCACTAAAGGAACAATTAAATTACGTGTAATGTCTTTGCCCTTTGTTAATGTCACCTTTCCCTTCCAGTTTATGAGACAGTGACGGTATGTTACAGCAGACAGCAACCTTTTTTTTTTATGATGTTCAAAAGTGAAAGTGTAGGCTATGGGATTCATATCCTCGACGTGAAATGCTGCCAAACAAAACACTTATCTTGTAAATCAGAGGTGAGACATGACACAAAGCCAGATATTAAAATAACAGTGAAAACGATAGAAGGCGTGTCTTCTCCCTAATTTCCTCCATCAGCGGCATTGTTCCCGTTAGCCTGTATTTACCCAACTTTAACTTGAAGAATCTGTCGAAGTCTGGCACATTTAAATCTCACCGGTCATAATGTCCTGTGAAAAGAATCCCCCCAAAACACAATAGGAAGTGTATTAATAAATACACTGAATAGAGTCAGCACCAGAACAGAATTAAAGCAGCGCTTGACTTCAAGTCAGCAAAAGTTTTGAGCTAGCGAGGCCTTTATGTATTTTGGCTTGATAACAAAGTTTTTCTCTGATTTTATTTTCTATTGGAATATGCAGGCCAACACCTGCGAGAAATTATTTGTGGTAAGCGTAGCTTTTCTTAATATTAATTTATATTCTTGCGCTATTGACACAACTTGTTTTAATTAAAACAACCTTTTAAACAACAATAAAACCACATCTTGATGGAGGCGTTCTTTATATAACCTTCCGAATATTTGTTTTGAAGTTGAATACACATCATTATTTTACAGAAATCTCTCTCCATTTTGTTTCCAATGGGAACTCTATGCAGCAGCCCTTGTTGTTAAAGACATGACGGCGTTCTCACCTTGTCTCTCTCCTTCTCCATCAGCTTGTCCATGCACCTCTTCAGTCCCTCGTCCAGCAGGTCCATCAGCCTCACCGTGTCTCCAGACCGGGTCTTAAACTTTTTCCTGGGACACAAATCAAGGAGAAAGAGCTTACAGTTAGGGCTGGCTCAGGCTGACCTTGAACTAGCCTACAACTATAGTTAGATGCTGGGGGACGTTCACTTCTCATATTTCACCTCTCTTCTGCTACTTATTCTTCATCTGTCTGCTTTATTGTTGAATAAATGCATGTTCACTCAGACTCGGGGGCATCGTTGCTATCCCTGAGGTTTCTCCCCTTTTTCCGTTGTTGGGTTTCTAAAGGAGTTTTCTCTTTAAGATGCGAGGGTCTAAAGGAAAAGCTGTACTCACAGTGAAGCCCCCTGAGACAAATGAATATGACAAACAAAGGATAAAATGTGATTATTTGATTGCGAAAGTTAAATGAGAGCTGACTTTGAGTCAAGAATCTGCATAAATCCCAAAACCTTCAGACCAAATAAAAGAATATGAGGCAGTGAGTTTTTCTGACATATTAACAACCCCCCTCCCCCCCCCCCTCACACACACACACACACACAGAGGACTTTACAGAAACAGACTTTTGACTGTCTGCCGGCAATAATTATGAGTTGCTTGCTGACAACTTGGGGCGATACATTTTGTAAAATCAACCAAATCCTATGAGCATTACAATCAGAACACGAGCCAAACATTTAATTACCACCCCCTTTTTTTACTTGCAGCTATAACAACTCCCCCCGCGGCTGCTTTAAGCCCTTATTGTCTGGATGAGCAATTATGAAAGCAGCATGATAAATGTCTAATGGGGTTTGGAGTAGCGGAGACATTGTGGGGCCAATTTACGCCCCCTCATGTTACTGTGGGGCGTTTAGTAGCACTTAGTTATGGCCTCTGCGAAGAGGAACATCAACCCCCCGCCCGGAGCTGGCACTCCTGCTCCGGACGATTGATTAGGAAAAAACAACAGCGTGACAGGAAGTGTTCAAATGATAGTGCGCGCTCACCTAATGGCCACACAGTCATCAGTGCTTACAATAAAAGGGAATAAATAAAAACCAGGGGATGTAAAGTTAAAATGCTTGGGACGGACAAATATGCTCTGATCAAACATGCTCAGTGTTTTTTAGTTTACTACCAGTTTATATCAACTTGTGTCCTACTTTCATACCTTTGTCCATCATTTATATTAATTATGATAACATTTTAATCATATGGGATTCAGGCATGTGAACTTTAACAATTGAAATGAAACACAATTAGATGTTTCCTTTCATACACTGTTATTTGCATTTATTACAGACAAAGACATTTAGAAGAGGATTCATAATTCAAATTTCAACTGTGTGGTTCTATCATTTCTGACTGATACTAGCATATTCACCCTTTTCATTCTTCCTTTCTCATATTTTGAAAGATTCTGCATTTAAAAAGCCTCAAATCTCATATTCCAACCCCGACACAAGTTGTTTTTTCAGCTGGCATTGTTGAATCTAATTGACTAATCTGTTGAATCTGTGTTGGAGGAAGCTGGCCAGCTTTGCTTAACAAACATTCATTCCAACCAGTGTTTCCTCCTTTTGAATGACTGAGTGGGTTTAGTGTTTGTATCATAATGACTGAAACTTAATCTACTATTACCATACAAAGCCAAACACTAGCTTTTAAAAGTGTTTTTAGGACGGTAAACCATATTAAGTAATTAAGATAGTTATTAATAATGAAAATATGGCATTAAAAGAATAAAGCTTAACTACAGTAGCCTCACATATTTGTTTCAGCTGGTTATTCTTCAAGTGAACCAATTAGCACATTTGTTTGCAATGTTGTAGTAACAGCAATACTTAGTTATCCCTAATGCAAAAAGGATTCAATATGTATTCATTTGGGATCCATTTGATGCGGTTTCCTGTCTCTATTAGTGTATGTTAAAATGTCATGGTAACTGATGGAAACCTAAGGCCAATAAGTGTCAGTTTTAAATGTAATGTAGGTTAGAAAACACGTGGTTGCTGTTGTGGGACGCATTCTTTCTTCTTAGCATATCTTCAACTTAAGATAAGCCTGTTTTATGTGTTAACTTTTTTTCTGAGTTTAAAATAGAAGCATCTTTCTAATGCGAGCTTAAGTTGTAACCGTCCAACTTGAATTACCGTCATCCACCTACTGCAGAGCTTCTCAGCCGCCTCATAGTACCTCACATGCTGAGTGATTTTGCATCCTTACCTCTTCATACACTGACTGTACTGTCTGTGTAGCAGCATCTGTGTATCTTCCTGTTTATTTGGTAATATAGCCATGTAGTAAAATACCTTTTTTAATGCATGACAGTAAATGCAGTAAAAACATGGAGCAGTGGTGATAAAGACACAGCGAAGGACATCCAGATGATTATAGTGATGCTGCGGTGGAGGAGCCTCAGTGTCCTGCTCTTTGTTGCTGCTCTGATGACGGTGATTTGGGTCCGTGTTAAAGCGTTATTGGTTTGCGTGAAGCAGCGACTCTCAGACCTTCAACGCACTCAAGTGTCAACACCGTCTGTACCATGGAGAAAAGCTCCCGGGCTTTATTGTGTTTTATGACTTTGAAAAAAAATGTGCGCCTTCTGTTGAGGCATATATTATTGATCTATATACGACATATGCTTCTTCTTTTTATTTTAAGAGTTTTAATGTCTAACAGTCACATGATTAATGGAACCAGTTTCTACTGACAGATTTGTGGATTCATCTAAAAGCATAATGTCCTTAAGTTTCTTAAGGAGACATTTTGTAAGGAAATGTAGGAAATATGCAGCATCTATATTTGATTTCTTGCAGAAAATGTATAAAAAGCCACTTTAGTATACTACTTTTGTTATTGCTCACATAGTATGAAGTGGTAAACAAGTGCACATTTGGAATTGCTGTCTCCACTGATCACAGACAAAAATTCTTAAACATTTTAGCTCCATGTCGAATATCAGCAAAGAAGGGGAAAGGCTGTCCGCAAAAGAATGGTGAAAAATGCGTACACCAGCAGAGTAAGCTACTGACCTGCTGGTTGATTTCAAAGCCAGGATGAAGACATTTAGCTTAGCTTAGCTTAGCTTAGCGTAACGGCTGTGACTGCCTGCTCTGTGTTTGGTGTCACTGTGTGTTTTAAACTCACTTGTCCTCCCCCAGCACCACTCCAAAGCCTGCATGCTCCACCCGGGTCACCTGAGGGTCGTACCAGCCAATCAGCTGAGCCGCAGCAAACACCACCTGGAAGTGTGTGCCCTAAGGGACAAAACAAACACAAACGTCAGTGACATATATACATAAATGTTACAGTTTCCAGAAAAAGAGAAGAACTTCCTCCCTGTCACTGCTGACTGGAAAACTAATCCTGAGCGGCTGCACTGCATAGCAAAAACAGAAACAAACTAACAGAACTGTGTATGATTCCTCAGACCAAATCATTTTGTAACCTGTTGAAATTACTTTTAAGACACCTTTGATTACTTTATTAGACTAAAGTCATGCTCTCTGTGGTTATATTTAAACAGCTTTCAGCTTACATAAGCCAGTATACTGTTAACAATGTTCACCATTTTAGTTAAGTGTGTGAACATGCTAACATTTGTTATCAAGCAATAAACAGAAAGTACACCTAAGGTTAAAGAATGGTTTTGCGAGTATTTTTGCTATTGACAAATGAAACCTGATGATGGTGCTAAAGAAAAAAGAACACATGTTAATAAGAGCCAGGAACTTCTGAACCAAATGTATATGGAAATCCAGGAGAGATCATTCTTAAATTGTTTTACTCTAAATGACCACTTCATGACGGGGTTAGTCGTAGGAAAAAAGTCATCACTGAAGTCAGTAGGATTTATCCTCAAGCCGGCATCAGTTTGTACAAAACCAAAGCATTTAAGTTAAGAATTTGTTTTTCAGAGGAGAGTGAAAACCTCATGCCCCAGACACACGTGTCTGCGTACACATGTTCCTTGTTTTTTCAGTATTTTCTCAACACCTTTCAAGGATGCTACGTCATCAAGTGGCGCAGCAGGACCGTTCCAATGTCCAGCATACTTGGAATTCCACGGGGCCGCGTCCTTGGTTTAGGGGAAATTTCGAGGCTGCACATGGGTAGACTTCGCATCCTTAAAATCCCCACAATGCTTTGCACACGGACCAATTTCCCCAAATCTGTGGCGGAAAATGTAAGGCCGGGCCTCTCATATGACGCACACCTGCACACTTGCTAGCCTGTTCCACTCTTCGTTTTCCGAATGCCAGGAAGGATTCTTGCCTAGCTTCTGAAGGAAGTGACTCGGAAGATATGTGCTACCGAGCAAGCGTACTCGCGATTGAGAAACACCCTCATTCCCTCCCTCTGCAGTCCCTAGCCTGTCCCACTCCCCACCCACCTGTCCGCTGTCTGTGACGTAGATGATCATGTCCGCCTTCTCGTCGAAGAGTCGCTGGCGCAGGGCTGCAAGGTCCGATGTGTCGTAGGTGTACCCGCCGTCAGATTTGACGATGGTGAGGGGGATGGGCTGACCCGGGACAAAGACGATCTTACGACCCTCGTCCATCTCGCTCAGACCTCAGGAAGGAAAAAGAAGAAACATAAATAAAGGAAGGAAGGATGTTTAAAGGGAGAGGGTGTACAGGGGAGGGGGAGAGAGTGGGATTAAAGTGAGTAATAGGAAAACAGGGGTTATGACAAACAAAGTTTGATAAGAGGGGAAAGAAGAGAAAGGGGAGATAATGAGTGAAGTGAAGAATGAAGAAATGCAGATAAAGAGGGAACGCAGATACACATAGGGGATTAGACAACATTAAAAAGAAAAAAAAAACACATAAGGGACTTTTTTTTTTAACTTGAAAGACATTTATGAGTTAACATTGCCCCCTGGTGGTCACAAAAGGTTGTTGCAGCCTACATTTTCAAATAATGAGTGTCAAGGACTTTGTATTTAGTATTATTGGCGCAAAAAGATTAGAAGCCTTCAATGACCAAAGTCCATAGAGGGAAACCTTCAAACTGAGACCGAGAAAAACACAGTGGATCAAACATCTTTCTGACTCAGAAACGTCCTCTGCCGCACACTGACCTCTCTCGTCAAACTCTTTCACCACCTTGGTCATCATTTCCTGGTAGTAAGACTCTCCTCTCTCGATGAGCGTAATGTCCAGGCAGTTGTAAACCTTCTGAAACTCTGAAACACACACAACCACCATCTTAGAATCCGTTTTAAAGAGCAAATAATAAACAAAGCTTAAGAATACGTAGAACTGAATGAACACAAACAAACAAATGTTATTGAAACATAAACAATTGTAAGTTCATTTAATGTGTATTTGTATTCCCATGTAACGAACATATTGTATCTCTCCGGTGTATTCATTACAGATGGACTACCCATCTGACATTACCCAGAAATATTTGTATTCATTGTTTAAAATGGGAGCATTTTGATTATGATGACAGCTGGTTGAATCTATACATGCTAAAGAAAGGTGGAACAGTGCTTCTTTTCTTTCCTCCATTGTCATAGGGAACACTCCACAATTCCAAAGGAAAGGAGATAATGCTGTCCCAATACTCTACACAAAAGCATAAGTTAAATCGACACGGCAGACCATCATCAATAACAACCGTTGTTGCATATTAACAAAGCCTAGTGTAAGCAGATCTTAGTGCAGAGTTTTCATTTAGTCCTTATGAATTCAAAACAGCTGAGGAGCTGCACTGCATGATAAACAGCACCGTCTTTATGTTTTTTTAAGGGAGGATTTGTCCCTTAACGTTACAGCCTCGTAAACAGGTTCATTAACACGCAGTGTACCTTTCCTGGAAACATCACAGATGAGGTTCCAGGCTTTAATGAACTCTGGCTCTTTGCTCTGCAGTCTGACGACACACTTGTACGCTCGCTTCTTAAAGTCCTCCTCCTCGTCAAAGCGCTTCTTCGACTCCTGAGTGAGGGGAGGGGAGAAATAAATGAGAGGGGGGAGGAGGTGGGCTCCGAGAAGAGAGAGACATGAGAGACCAAAGAGTAGGGTGGTAAGATGATGTAAGAAGTAAATGAGGTGTGGAGAGAAATGAAGAAACATAATGTTCTCTGTTTATACAAACATACACATACAAGTGCTGCACTGTTACGCATCATGCTCCATAGAATATTCCTGCATCAGAAATATCCTTAACAAAAACACCTTAAATTCATTATTTTAAGCCCATTCTTTTCTCCAGCTGGACTACTTTTAAACCAAATATGATGCTGTGCTTTGTTGTGTGTCCTTTCAGATTATTTGCCAACAATTTCCAAAGTGCCCTGAGGATTGAGACAGCAGTGGAAAACAGATAGGCAGAAACAGATGGAGAGTTACTGACTTTGTAGAAGGCCTGCAGGTCTCCGATGGGCGGGCAGGAGGTGAGGTAGTCTGGGAATTTATCCTGCAGGTGGGCGATCAGCATCCCAAACTGAGTCCCCCAGTCTCCCACATGGTTCAGCCTTTTGGGTGGACAAAGCAGTGTCCAAACTAAAGTCCACAACTGACACTAATCATGACTTTTTACTCTTCTGACCGACAACTGAAAAAACTTTGGTCTGGAGTAAGATAGGGAAATGATTGGCCACATTGTCAAGATATTGGGTATGAATATTCAGGGGATTATGCTGAAAATGTACTTATTACAAGTTGATACAGGAAAAATCATCATACAAACTGATTAGATTCCTATGAAAATGAGTATTTATGATTTTCAGTCTTGGCATGACAGACAAATCAATATCACTATAGCAACATTAGAATTTGACTTAAAGCAAGCTGAATCTGAAATGTCCTAAATGGCCACCATACAGAGGACTGATTTATGCCACAGCATGACTTTTCCTTTTTTTTGGAAAAATAAAATATGTCTAAATGTTTTATCCGTGCAACAATTTAGTTTTCTGGAGTAAAAGAGCCTTACAGAGATAATAATGAGGCTGTAGACTTTTAATATTTCTATGACTATAGTACAGTGAGGTTAGTGGTGTGTGATGGTGTTTCGCATGCAGGAGGTTCTGTTAACAGCGACTGAACTGACCTGAGAACATCGTAGCCCAGAAACTCAAACAGCCGACTCATGCTTTCTCCGATGATGGTGGAGCGCAGGTGGCCCACGTGCATCTCTTTGGCGATGTTTGGAGAGGAGAAATCCACCACCACCTGAACAACAAATACACACAGATTAAACGATACATCATAAACACAAACCTGTGAGACAGAAAAGCTTAAAATATCTAGTTTAGAAGAAGAAACAATGGTCTGTGTTTCTATTCTCAAACCAAAATATGTGGCTAAGAGGAGCAGCTCTGCAAACCTACACAGTGAAGTATGTGGCAGACAAACTAGATTTTAAATAAGCTCAGAGGATAACATCACTAACTTGACATAGCATCTGTTCCGAGATCTATGCTCCATGTTATTGTATCTATCTATCAGGGCAGCAGAGGCCGTTCAATTAATAGTTTACATGTAAAGATCTGTGGCAAATAGTGGCTGAGATTACACAAAAAGTACTTATAGTTAGTTACGAGCATGACTTTAATTCTCTTGATATAAATTCATCTGAAGCAGTTTTCACGCAACACAAGGGAGTGTGACTTACCCTCTTCTTGGACAGTGGGGGGGGCTGCACGCCGTTGATCAGCAGGTTGCTCATCAGTTTGGACACAAACGGCCTCTTCAGATAGACGTTGATGAACCCTGAACACAACAAAGACAGAAGGGAGGATGAGAGTGATTTTGATGTATTTAATGTTTGGATATACCTTTTACTAATGTTTTACCATGGTGTACTTATCTACTTTTAGTTTTTTACTTATTGTGTTTTTTTAATAATGTGTGCCTACTTGTTCATTTTTGAAATATGTAAGTCTATGCTCTTTACTTCATCTGAACTATACTTCAGCTGTGGTAAAGTACATTTCCCAGTAAGGCTGCTCGATTATGGCAAAAATCATAATCTCGATTATTTGGGTCAATAATTGATATCACGATTGTTAAAAACGATTATCCATTTACTTTGAAAACATCCATTTATTGGAGAAAAAAAATTTGAACAGTATGTTTTTAACAGTTGATTGCCCTGAACTTTAAGTATAATTCAAAAACCAATAAAAAAACAACATTTAATAAAAAATAAATTAAAAAAAGTAATAATAAAAAAATAATCGTTTTATTTCGATTACGTTGTTTTTGTAATCGTTGCAAGCCATAAATCGTAATTGCAATTTAAATATGATTAATTGAGCGGGCCTATTTCCCAGTTAAGGGACAAATAAAGGAATTCTGATTCAATGATATTGATGGTATTTTCAATGCGTCATAACATTATGAGAATCCACAAAAAAACACAAATCTTTCAACATTATTTGCAAAATGTTTAATACAATTGACATTTCTCAGAGCTGAAGTGTTTGACGTATGATTATAGAACTTATTGTGACCGAATATTGTTTTAATTGTAGTTTCTCTTTCAATGAATGAAAATATTTTTTGAAAGAAGAGCCCATGTTTTGTACCTGGTCCGGCGATCTCAGTTTTGAGGATGACTTCGTTGTCGGAAAGGTTCTGGACGATCTTTTGTGCAATTTCCCTGGGGTTTGTCTTCACTCCCTTTGCCTTCAGAATCTGGAACACCACACAAGACAGTTTGGCTTAAAATGTCTTTAATTAACTAAAAAGAAATAACTTACAAAAACAACCGATTTCACAACTTTCAGTGTAATTACAAAATGAGATGTATTGGATTTTCACAGATGATTAAACCTGCAGTGGTTGTACTGATTCAGCTTTTTCTCTCCACAGAACAATAAGAAATGGTTCAGCATGAATGAAAGGCCTCCAAATATTATCAGGCTCCTAAACAACTTCAATCTCGTAAAAATAGGTCGATAAAAAAAAGAAGAGCCTTCGACCTAATTCAACAATCTTTGAAAATTATCCTTTTATTCTCCAACGTTTTATTTGTTGTTCAAAAGGCTTTGTTGTCATATGCATAGCTACAGTGTAGATATGAAATGAAAAGCTTAAGTCAGAGGCTCCTTCAACCATGCAACATAAATGTATATATTAAGACATAAGTATAAAAACAGTGCAAGCTCAGGAGTTGAGCAGTCAAGGAAATTAATAAAGTATTTAAGGGAATCTAAAAAGAGGAACTTTTATTGAATTTCTGAATTTGTACGCTCACTGAAACTTTAATTAAAGTCATTCTCTGTGCTCCACAGACCTGGGCGATGGCCATGGCGCTGTTGCACTGGTACTCTCCAAACCTGGGCTGCTGGCTGGAGGCCACGGACAGGGGGGGGTCTTCCAGCTCGGGGTACGCAGCACGGATGGCCTCGCAGAAGATCTCCTCCAGCCGGTGGAGGATGTTGGTCATGGATTTAGTGCAGTGAACCGTCCTCTCCTCCTGCAGGCTCTGAGCACACACAGCACATCGGCCTCATTAAGAGATTAGACATGAATCCTTTTACCTGCACATGGAAATAAGCTAATAGCTAAGTCTGGCATTAATCATCTCTTCTCTTTTTAAGATTTATGTGTTTTAATGTGTGGTTCTTGAGAAGACTCGAAAAACTGTTATTTTTGTCTGACTCTTTCTACAGAGGTTTTTTTAATTGAAAAATCAAATATTTCAGTCACTAGTAGTGTCATTTTACAATCGTGCTGCAAGGGTGGAAAGCATACAAGCAGAGTAAACCCTGCAGTACAACACAATACATTGTAGGATTTTGACAGTACTTCAATTTAAAGAAAAAATCTATTTGTTTGAACACCGTGGTAATGTGATTAAAAAGGAGGAAATGTTTGTTGACATGCTTGACTCTGAAAGATCCATATTGCTCTCAGAGAGCAAAATATTATGATATTTGAATAAGTTAAATTCTCAAAGAATGTTGTTTTTTCTTTACCTTGCTAGATATTTCTGGTTGCATTTAACAAATAAAAAATCCTGAAATGTCCCAGTTTTTGTGTGAACATTTGTTGAGTATTGTTTTATGTGTATTCTGTGTATTCACCCTCTTCAGGACGTTCAGGCGGTACTTCAGTTTGGCGTTTTCATCCCGCAGCTGTTCCAGGCGGGGAGATGGACTCAGGTTCTGTGGTTTTTTTAGACCCTCAACCTCTGCAGATAGACTCTTGATCTCCTGCTCCTGAAAAAACAAAACATTCAGATTTACATTTCCGTAGAACTAACTCAATCCTTAAAACATTACGATCTCCCTGAGCAGCATCTACTCAGCTGAGGTTCTTACTTGCAAGCTGACTGCAATAGAGTAACAAGTAAAAACCTATTTTTGAATCAGATCAACAATTTATCCTATCAGAGATTTCATCAAGTTTTTACAACCGCTGTAATTGTACTGTGACAACAATCACTGCTAACATTTTACAAATCAACAATGACAAAGCATTGTTAATGTGTCAATGTATTTTTTATGACACAAAAATAAATGTTTTGTTGTTTTCGGGATGGACTATTTTCATGTGATTATCTAAAGATACTTACTAAGATTAAATACAGTCAATTTCAAATGATTATCATTTAGCCAACAAAGCTGGATAAAATGTGTTAAATATGTTATATTATATATATTGTTGTATTTAAAAACCACTTCTGCATTCCTGCCAGGAACTTTGATAGTAAATCAGGTCAAGTCGTAAAGTTAAATAGCACTGAATCAGAGTGAAACCAAAAGTTGTTAACAAATGATGAAACACATATTCAAATTACAAACCGACATCTAAGAGTCCCTGAAGATTTTCTTGTAAAGGAACTAGAACTAAACAAGGTATAGGATTCAGGAATATGAAAAGGCTCGATCATAATGTAAGGATTGATTGATATACGAACATGTAGCTTACTGTTTAATAAGGCTGATTTATGAGAGAAGCTACTGTTGATTGACAGGAAGTAGCACATTTATCAAATGTTATTGTACCTTTGAAATCAAATTAAGACATTGCATGCATTTAGCAGTGGGACTCAGATATTGTACTTAAGTAAAGGTAGAACTACTACAGTAAATCAGTTACAGGTAAAAGTCATGCATTTAAAACCTTACTTAAGTCAAAGTACAAAAGTATCGGCATCAAAATATACTCGAAGGAACGAAAATCAAAGTACTTATAGTTCGTTGGAGCTCAACTCAGAATAATATATGAAATTACTGGATTATGATTATTGATGCATTAACGTGTTCATCAGAGATGGTAAAGGTGTAGCTCATTTAATTACATGTAATAACTACTGCTGAATATCTTAACCTATAAATATATATCATAGTTTATTCATATTTTAAGTTAGCATATAATCGGAATCTTTAAAGTTACTAGTAACTAATTATGTCAGATAAATGTAGTACAATATTGGCATATAAAATATAGTGGAGTAGAGGTATAAAGTAAAATGGAAAATACTCAAGTTAAGTACCCCAAAACATACTTAAGTACAATACTTAAATGAAGGTACTTCAATACATTACACCTGTGTCACTGAAAAATGGGTTGACCTAAAAAATGACAGGGAGACACTATTTTTTCAATTGTACCAAAACAATAGGTATTTGGTATACAGTTTCTTAGCCGAATTTGAGAGTGGTGACAACTTACTCTGTAGACATTCTTTGTTTTAAAAAAAAGTTTTGTAGTAAATTGTTCTGAAAGGCATAACAACATTAAATCTAAAGTGTTTAAAATGACGTTTGGCCGGTGTGATGCTACCTGGCATTTAGCCTGCAAGCAAATGTATCTTAAAATGTGTTGAATGTGTATTTACCTGATAAACTAAATGACAAATTATTCCATAAGATGTTAAGAGCATTCTCCAACTTTTCTAGGCTAAATCATGTCATGTGTTTTATAAAAATCCTCTTTGATTAGAGGGAATATGAATTGTCACACAGATAATCACAGGGCTGTTATTGTTTGTATACGAATAGGCTGATCTTATAGAACATGATGCATTGCTGTAGATTAAACTCCCTGTCAGTATTTAAATAAATTAAAATTAGCACAAACCTAAACATCTACAGCAGTAAAATGCAACCTCAATGCAGCAGTAGGGTAATACAAAAACATAATAAATAATGGTAAAACACTGATATTTTTACATTTACAGGTAACGTCTCTTACCTGCTGTTGCAGTCGGGTTGTGTACTCGTTTACAGAGTCTCCCATCTTTCTGAAACTCTTCAGAGAAACTCTCCTGTCGGCTGAATACAGACACTCGTGGCTGATGAAACAACTGCTAGAGAAGGAAGAAGTTGACAAGCGTACTTCCGGTATGTCTTCTTCTTCGGTTTTACTGGCGGGTCGCATACCATGGTATAAGGAGGACAGCGCCCCCTTCTGTAACCTGTATGTACAGCACTCAGTTTAATGAACAATAACAATAACTACTGCTCCTATACTATATTTACAAAAAAAACTGTAATAAAAACACAATTGAAAGTTAAAGTACCTGATTTTAGTATCTACACAGCTTTCCTCATATAATATTTTATTATTTTGAGCACTTTCCAATAGTATACTGTAGCTAGTTTTTTAGTAAAAAAGGAAATTATTCGTATGTGAAAATCTACTTGGCAATAAACCTGTTTCTGATTCGGGTTATAATTCTAATCCACTATACTTCCGATTTATCAGATAGATTTAGCTACTTTTCAGAACACACTTGTTCCCTTTCTTTCCAGTGAAAATCGTGTATAGTCAAATGGGTTGAATGGGAATTTAACTGATAAACAAAATGACAAATTATTCCTGAAGCCGTTGAGTACATTTTCCAACTTTTCATGGCTAGGTTATGATATTTTGAGAAACTCTTGAAAAATTAAGAGATAAAAAAAATATGCTGATTTTATAGAATATGAGGCATTGCTGTAGATTAAACTCCCCAACAGTATATAAAGAAGTCCAAATTAGCACAAACCTAAACATCTACAGCAGTAAAATTAAATATATATGTTACAAAAAAGTAATAGTATTACACTGAAAGAGAACATTGTAATGCGCCATGACTACATTTACTTTCCATTCTTCAAGTACATTTTGTTGATAAAGCTTTAAAATGTTTTGAGAAACACATTCATTAAAGTACTACAAAACACGATGAATTAGAAGAGAAGAACTTTTTTATTTGTTGTGAAACTACAAAACATATTGTTTGGTATTTTTTGTGCTGGTGAAATATTTACAACTCTGGTCGATAGTACAGTGTCTGAGAATACAATTCACAGCTTTTCGGGACTCTCGCGATAAAAAGAAAAACAGGAAAAGCACACCCAAATCACGAAGTGCAATAAATACATGCTGTGTGTTTCTCATAGCCGCCTCCATACACATTACCAGATTCATCACCAGTCGTAATACAAACAGATTCATTAGGGGAAAAAAAACAATAATCAAATAAAAGGAAAACAAATGAACTTCAAAAAACAAAACAAGAATTATATCACAATCTACATGATGAAAAATAATAATTACGTGTGACTACCAGCATGTGTTTTTCTCTGAATGATTGTGCTTTCTCGTAGCAAAGAACCTACATTCCTTCATCCAGATGTTGTTATATATAAATGTTTTTGATTTAGCGGTTAAACAACATTCAATCGATCATCATGACAAAGTTCTTACAGACAGACAGTACTGTTCCTCAGAGTCCTATTCTTTCAAACTACCTGCTCTACAGTGGATGAAAACAAAAAAACTGTTGACATTAGGAACATTAATGCAAACCCTTCTCTACATGGACAGCTTCAGATCACACCATGGCAGCCAGGTTTGGACATATAAGACAAAACAAACAAAACAATGGTTGCTCTCCGAAAGGCACTCACTCTCACATAACTCCAAAGGCTTTCATTAATTTCACAGTGATCCCGTTACAGTAAAACCCTCAGACCGTCAGAGTTCAGAGCTGCGTTCACACTGCGCGAGGAAACCAGACCTGTCATGTGACTCTTTCCCACAAAAAGTAAACACGACGATTGTGAGGTTTTTCATCGTTACTCCTCGATTTAATACATATCTTTTTATGATTTCAGTCTGAACAGTCTGATCGGCATTCAAACTACTTTTTTGTTGCTCCCCTAAGCCGTGACAGCAAAGAGAAAGTGGTGCATTATAGTGTATCAGATGTTGTTAATTTGAGGGGAGAAATACATGTGGGATGAGTCAAGATGCTCTCATGTCAACAGCTAAAAGAAAAGGATTTTGCTTCACACATTCAGGATGCATAATTATCTAAAAATGTTTCTCAGAAGAAGAAACTCAAACTGTGGTTCAGACAGCTAGGACAAAGAAGCTTCAATCCAAAACAGTGTATTATTTTTAGTGTTTCCAAAGTTTCATGCCACTGTTGGAAAATGTATATATTCAATTATATATGGTGACTATGGAGGTCATTATTGAAGGTGGTTTTGTTATGGATTATAAGATTTGTTTACAATTCTTTGACCCTTTTTTAATTACAAAGTGGGGGAATATCACTAAGTATGACCTTGTTGCTTAAAATGTATATTTTAATTCTCTATAAAAGTATTATTTATACATCGCCAATGAAAATATAGACTTTGTGGCACCAGGAAAAGCGCTATATAAATCAAATGTATTATTATTATTATGATTGTGTTGGATCCCAATGGTGCACACGGTTGACACCATTGCATATATGTGCAGATGATACACTTTACAGATCTAAAGATAAAGTATTATTTGGATCACTGAGCCACAACAACATCAGAGTCCTTTATGTATGTGTTTGCGCATCAGGTGTTAAGTCTTTGGTATAAATATGTTGTTCGATGTTTAGTTCAGAAACAGGACGGTTCAGACTGAAGGCAGCCAGAATAAAACGCTTCGTCTCTGCAGTGTGAACGCAGCCTCGGTGTGAACGTGCTCACAGCATTTCATTCACTTCCTATCAAGTTTTTTGTGTGTGTTTTCCTAGACGGGGTGAGAATATCTGTGGTTATCTATTTCTGTGATATGTATTGTTCTTATTAACACTTGTGCAAAAATATTCCTACTTTTACCAGAATGTGTGGTGAATATTCCTACTGGTAACTGGATATGTGTTGTGCCTATGTTCTTTTTCTTGTGGATTAAAAACTATTACAATGTGTAATTATCAGAAACGAGGCTGATTTAAATTGTTGGGACTTTTGGGAGATACACTTAAGGATTGGAGGGGGATGATGGGGAAACGGACAGAAGGTGGAAAGAGCCAACAAGAAAAATCAATTCCCTCCGTTGGTGTTAAACATACACATAAACCAAGAGACAAAAGGTTTAAGGTCTTTGCTGGATCTGATCTATTATTCAAGCATGTTATGAGCTGCTGTTTAACTACAAACAGTGAAACAGAGACACATCTGGAATGACAGCGGCAGAGGTTTTCTTCAGCGACATTCCTGTTTACACCGAGAATTGAGACATGATAATGAAGGATTGCGCCATGTGGTGGATACTTATACAAAGCACCTAAGGTACCAACACATGAAGAGCATGGTGACCCAGCAGGAGAGGAACACTGAGCATAACAGCGCTGAAAGTCTGCGAGTCAATTGTTCCAAAAGTCACAGGTTAAGAAACTTCAGGTCCACTTTAAGACTGAAGTCCTGTCAATGATATAACCCCAAGAGTGCGTAAAAAACACATGATTTTGCCACTTTTATAAAAGTAAAAATCCTTGTTTTTGTCACTCTTTATTATTCCTGATCCGATTTGCTGCTCTACAATGTTGTCCGACTTTCTTTGATATTTTTTAAATGTTTTTTGGTCCTCCATCAACTGCTTTGTAATTTGAGTGCCAATGATTTAGTGCTACAAAATTAAAACTGAACTGACTTTGTTTTTCAATCCATCATATTCAAAATGTGAAATGATTTAGTGCCAGTAGGTGCATTCTACTAATTTTGGAGTGGGGTTTCTTCCTCATAAATATCAAATCTGCTTAAAATACATAAGAGTCATGTCTTCTATATGAGCAAAGATTTCAAATATTAAAATATGTCAACAAAAAACAAGTGATTTATCACCATAGGAGTTTTGTTTTAGCACCATTGAAATGTTGAATAAAGCGCCAACAGCTGCTCATCGTTCAGGTACAAACACAAAGGGCCACCAAACAATAGTCGAGGTCTGCTGCTGATTTATAATCCGGTTGCCTTGGAAACAGAGTTAGACATCGTAAGTTGTCACTGAGCTGAATAGAAATCACATCACCAGAGCACAAACAGTGAACTGACTTCATGCCAGAGTTGAGGATTAAGAGCTGCTCTGCACGTACCGATAAAAGACGTTCTGCACTCAAAGCATCGAGAGGAATATCCGTCTCCTCTGATAGCCAACACATGTTACTATGCAAGTGTGAAAATATAACAGCATGATGAACAGATGAAGTTGGAACTCCAAATTAGACCCTTGTCCAAATTAGCATGTCATTATCTTCTATAATTAGGACATTTGTTATATTTTAGACAGTTTTAATACCTGAAGTGACACTTTAACCCATTATCTATTTATATTTAATTCTAAATCCAATTGTTTCAGAATATTCTTTTTACATTTTGCACCCACAGGAAAGCAGAAATACTAGCAGTGCTAAAAAAAAAAAATAAGGTTACTTGAACATGAACCTGTTTATTGATAAATAAGACTATCTGGTTTTTGTGGTGAATTTAACTTAAATCGAAAAACGTAAGAAAACCTTAAAACCTGTATTTCGACATTCCTCACAAGGGTGGTTTGATTTAGGCAAACCTCCTGCAATTAAACATGTTGTTTTATCTTCTGACAATTATTTTGGGTCAGTTGAAGAGCAGGAAACAGGAAGTAGGAATTAAAAACCTGCATTTTTTTTGGCCTCTTGGGGGCAGCATAACAATACATAGTCTTTGAAACCATAGCTAGTTTAAAGATACAAGGATGGAATTGATGTGTTCAGTAATGCTGGGACACCATGCTTACATTTTACATATCAGCTGCAGAACATCCAGTTGTAAGAGGCATGAGAGCGACTTTAGATACAGAGCGTATCCAAAACATCCAGTTAGAGGGAAGGGAAGTCTGAAATTAAAACTCTTTTAGTTCACAGTCTTCAAAAATACATCTGATCTTCCTGTCTGACAATCTTTGTGTGCTTCAACATTTAACAATCATTCCAGCGCATTCGAGGCAAAGGTTTTTGGATTTTATAGATTTTTCCAAAAACCCACTTTTTTTCCTTTCTTTTTGAACTTGTATCTCAAGTTTCTTAAAGTGCGGACTATCCGATCAACTACCTGAGTGATAGTGAGAGTTAGTGCTGTTTCTACACTTTGCTGAGTGTAACTGGTGAGAGACAATCGTTTAACTTTCGACCTAAAATGAGAAGAATGTCGCCTCCTAAATGATCAAATCCAGTTCATTTGGTAACGTTTGTAAATCAAAGACTCGCTGTGTGTGTTGTAAATGATGCATGCTGATGAGGATTATATACAAACATATGTGCTGTCTATAGTTTAAAAAAACAAAAACACATTGCTTGAAAATCAATGTTACATATCTCTTAAATTAAGATATTCATTTCTGTTATTTATCATCAGCTTTAGTACCATTGTTTTGTGCTGTCAATATACATTTATATATGTTCGTGTCTAAATATGTCTTTTCAGTACAAAACTCTGTGTATGCATATATGCAGCTTTGTGACGTTGTGCTGGAATGATGTTACACACCTATAAACAGCCTGTTAGTAACAGAAACACAAATCAAAGTGGAACAGAGTGACATAATAATTAAAAAAAGAAACGCTCGTGTGCTATCACTAATTTACAAACATAGACTATCCACATTAGAAATGCTGAGCTCTTTAAAAATGTGTTTCTTCACGGTTTTGAGTGTTTTCTCTACTAAACACATTATTAATATTGTTTGTTTAAATTCTTCATAACACCGCCAAACATTTGCTTCATTTGAATGGGAACAGCAGGTTGAGACTCGAGGAGGAAATACTTTGAAATGCTTCTCTACACGTCGTCAGCCGGCAGGTCAGGGATGTTGCTCTTCGCTCGAGTGAAGAACGCCATCTTCTCTCTGAAACACACAGGAGACAGTTAGAGGTCAACACAAGGACACAGCTAACATGGAGATGTAGTTTTAAAGTGGCTCTAACTGTAAAGCAGTTTCATTCAAATACTGTAATTCGTTCTTTTGTCAGCTACTGGTGTCAGTCTATTCACTATGTTGTAATTATACTGTTTCTGTCTACTGTGAATATATGACATCATTGGATGTCCGACTGTCTTGTTTTATAATTGAGGATTGAAAGATATGTGTTTTATATTTGTATACTTCTAAAACAAATCCTGATTTTAAAGCTGAATAAAAAAATGAAATCTAGTTATTCTGAGCTCCTAGATAGTTTATGATCTTGTTTCTATAAAGGTCATTTTTCTCAAGTAGCTTGGGGAACACAATCACAATCTATCAAATATGTGAAATAATTGAGTTTGATAGGATTCCTCAATAAATTATACAATGTAAGCCCACCATAGAGATCTTCCATATAAATTAGATAAAGTTAGAATGCACTGCTGTTATAATAATCATCTACATTGTATCATGATACAGGGTAAATAGGGAATACAAAAAGGCCTCTTAAATGCAGAAATAATATTGCTAAAATCAGTAAATACTTTTCAAATAAGAATAACATTAAGCATAACTAAGCACACTTAGCTTTTTCACAACATGTTAGGCGGCAGTCAGATATTAAAACAGCCACCATCACAAAAAAGATTGAACCGCCAACAATCAGGACACCTAGAGAGTATAACTAAAGTAATCTGGTTGTGCATCAGGAGACACAACAAACATATTTGTCCCAGCCTATGAACATCTCTGTGAAGAACATATTCTCACAGTCTACATCAAACTCCTTCCTCTGCCTCCTCCTGTCTGACATACAGCTTCTAAAATTCATTAAGAAGGGGAGTAAGTAGCTTCACTGCAGCTGTAAAGTGCTTTCTTAAGGGGCCTATTCTTTATTGAGCAGTTTTGAACACATTCTGTCTGCTGAGGAGATCTGACCACATATGTGTCTCTGGTATTCTGTCTGTGCTCTTATGGAGACTCTCGTATTTCAGGAACCAGTCCGGTTGCGTGTCCCACCTGAAGGTCTGCACCTCGGGGACCTCCTTCCGGCTCTGGCCTCTGATCTTGTGGACGTCCTTGGCTGCCGCTCTCATCATCTTCTCCACCCGCTTCTCGTGTAGCTGCTCCTCACAAGTCTGAACAGGAGCAAGAGCACAGGACCATAGTGAAATCTGCTCTTCGTTATTTACAGAGAAAAGCGTCTAATAGAGGACTAAAGCGTGTGGTAAGAAAACTACAGCATCAGCAAAAATGTCTTTCATAATAACCACTTTTTTTGAATGATATATTTTCCCAGGATATTTAAATGTTTTGAATTTTAAGAACATTGTATGCAACTGATATAATGATCAAATAGTGAATAGTTAGAAATGTCAGTTTGTAATATGATATCGATATTGTGTGTTAAGTTAAAAATGAAAAAAAACGTCCATATAATACTAACACAAGACACAGCACATGATACACACACAAGATAAAAAACAACAAGTTTGTGTCTACTTGTCGTACCATCAATTCATTATGTAGTTTCCTTTTAATATTTAAAAAAGAGGTAACCTAACTATTTTTTACGTGATGTTTTGAATTGTAGACGGTTACAAACAAACCCAGTTTATGTCTGTATATTTCACGATATGTTGTTAACGTAACAGTTATCAAGGATGTGTCCATATATCGGACGTTAGGCCCATAGCCAGAGATGGCAAAAGTACACACATCCTTTACTCAAGTAGAAGTACAGATACTGGTGGTGTTTAATAATACTCTGGTGAAAGTAGAAGTACTGACTAAACTTCTTTACTCAAGTAAAAGTAAAGAAGTATGGGCTTCGAAATGTACTCAATTAAAAAGTACCCATAACTACCAACTGTTTATAGAGTAACTGGTAACTTGACCTCACTTTATATTAATAGAACAATAATCGAGCCGAGTTCTCATTGGTCCCTCTTCTTTAGAGAAGACCAGGAAATGATGGATACACGGATCTTGTTCAAATCAATGACTCTAAATAATAATGATCACGCCGCCAAACACAGATTAAAGCTAAAGTAACAAGCCTGTTTTGAAAATGTATAAAGTACAGGTATTTGTGTTAAAAATTGAAGAAGTAAAAGTAAAAACTCGTCAGAAAAATAAGTAAAGTAAAGTAGTGATACCAGAAAAATTTACTTAAGTATAGTAACAAAGTATTTGTACTCCACTACTTCCCACCTCTGCTCATAGCACACGGGCAGACAGACATGAATCCCCCCGTCCCCTCACCTGCTTCTCGGCCTGCCTCAGGAGGATGCGGAAGCGCTCGTCCTCCTGCACCCAGGCGGGCAGCTCCCTCTGGCCGCGCTGCCTGGCCGTCTCCAGCTGCGTCTTCAGCTCCCGCAGCACCCGCAGCTCCTGAGCCAGCCGCGTCTGCCGTGTCCGCGACACCTGCAGGTCCAGCTCCAGGTCCAGGGACGTCCTCAGCAGGCCGTCCAGACCCTTCACCGGCACCGGGGGCTGAGGGGGGACAGGGGTGGGGCACAGGTAAGAGATGCAGAGGCTCAAGACACAAACACTACGGCTGCTAGAAACAATTATTTCAGCTATTGGGTACATGGCCCTCCCTATGGGCGTTAGTGAAGGCCATTAATGCAAAATAACTTGAAATCCCTGACTCCTCAGCCTATGAGAGAACACTAAACACTCTCCTTTTTTAATATAATGTATTTATAACTCATCACGCACTGCAAAGAAAAAAGAAAAGAAAAAGCAGTCACAATTTGAATTGATTTGCAATAATCGATAACTCATCTTAACTTTTTCTATAGTTAAGTTTTTTTTAAATACATTTTCTTGTTCCTGTTGAAAAAATATATTGTTTTCCTTGTAAAGAAAATGTGTTATTCTTGCTTTGGTTCAACATTTTTATGAAAATATTTCATAATTGTGCAAAGCTCACTGTGGCAAAACTGTATGTCATTATGGTCATGCCAATAAAGCTATTTGAATTGAACACAAAACACTTTTTTCTCTTCTAATATCATTACTTTCTTACTCATCACTGTCTTGATGTGATGATTGAAATGTTATGTTTACAAATTTCACCTGTATTCCATTGTGTTGTGTATTGCCCGTAAAAAAACATGCAAATGGCAAATAAAAGGAAAAAAGCTCTAAATTAAAAGTTGAGGACAGAAATTAATTTATTAATTTATTTTATATGTATGTCTGCAAAAGTCTTAAGCGTCACCTGGGTGTACACAGTAACAGCTTTAATTTATTTGCAAACACTGTCACCAGCATGCGATGTGTGATGTAGATTTCCACCACGGTGATGTTCCGCTGCTGCTAAATTAATATGAGCTGGCAAATGTCAGAGCTGCATTAAACATTCAGACGGTTATTAAATATTAAGAGTCACTTGACGGAGAGTTGTCAGGCGGCTCTAGGGCTCAGAAAATGCAAATAGGCTCCCCCTGTCTCCCTCTCTGGAGGAAGGAGTTCATGCTCGGTAAATTTGCAGGTGGTTAGATCTGTGAGGCTGCAGTGAGGCGTACTGAGGTATAAGTGACTGGACTTCAATGTTAACTCCTCTGAACTTCTGGGGGGGGGGGGAAGTCTGTCATGTCATGGCAACAATCAATAACACTGTCATTACCTCATGACACGGTTACCATCACAGAAACACTTTGGGGAGTCTGACACATGAACTGCGCAAAAACGTTTTTGCTTTTGAGATCGAGCGACGAGGAGACAGGAGTGAGGATGACCGCCTGAGGTCTTTCGAGGCGAGTAGACACATTATTTTTTACCTCTGTAATATTGACATTTCTGCAATACGACATTGTAAAACATTTCTCCACCGGCTAACAGTCAAAACTGCTCCACTGGTTGAAAATCGGCTCAAAGATTTGTGACAGACTCTATGGGTCAGCCTACCATAACAACATCATCTCTGACCCCAACCATGTTCTGAACAGAGAATATTAATTGTTGGGAGGTACAGGGTAAAAAGATGAAATACAATTAGACTGAAGCACTCTTTGGTGCCCCAGTTAATCCTGAAATTAAATACAGAGTTAAATCCCAGGTCAAATGTACGTCAGAGGGTCTTAGACATGTTGTCTTCAGTGATTGTGATGTAAAGTTAAATGTCTGTCTTCATATTTTCCCTTGTTGATGTTGCAAATGGAGCTGCTGTGATATCTGACATTCAAGTATCATCATCATATGTTTTACCTTCTTCATGCGCATGCTTCTTCTCTCCGAGGCGTTCCTGACAAACGGAGACTTCTTGGAGAGGGTGGAGCTGTCGCTGTCACTGCGATTTATCTAGAAAGCAGCAGAGGGAGATGTTAATTCACGACAGGGAGTTAAAAGGGTGTTTTTTCTCTCGGTCTGATGTCCTGTTGTTTTACTGCAGGTCTTCAGTGGCCTCAGTTACCCTGCAGATGTACTGGCTCTGGGGTCCGGGGGAGAAGGTCTTGGAGCGGATGATGGTGTTGCCCCTCATGAAGGGGTTCTGCTGGTGGACGTCTGGCCGGCGCTCCTTAGGTCGGACCACCGAGCTGTGGTGGGACAAGTTGTCCATGCTCGTCTCTTTGTTCACCTAGAAAAAGAATACAAGAGTATATCCATATAAACTGTCCAATACTGAATAAAGAGCTTATTATACTAGACAATTTATTGCACCCGAAGTTCAAAAACAAAGTATTTTTTGACATGTTTTAAACATCTCCACCCAGTACACAAACAGAAAGGGCCTCATTTAATAGGATGTCAGAAGAAAAAAGTCAGAGAAAAAGGAAGTACAACATGACAATGAGAAGAGCATATCATTGTATTTCTTGGGAGACATTTATTTTTTTGATGCATTTTCTCGGTATGGTTGTTAAATAACAGTGGAGAATGGCCTTTTGACTTTACCCGATTGACTTGTATCTAAAGGTGTTTTCTGCTCAAAGATATAATACTTGTGCTTTCCTAGTAATCCAAGAATGAAAGAAATATCTACCACAATCCAAATACATGTATCTCTGTATATGTGTTCAGATCTAATGTGTATAAGTCTAGTACTATTCCTGTGTGTGTATTGTACTGTGTGTTACAACATTTTCCTCTGGAGGATAAAATAAAGGTTCATCTTCTTCTTCAACACAACAAGTAAATATAAACCTTTTTAAGTTACCTTTTCTGTGATGACTGGCGCACGATAAGGAGGAGGTTTGATCTCCTTCACCGCCACTTCCTCTTCCTCTGCTTCCCATTGGCTGCTCTCAGGATAAAACTCTTCCTCTTCAGGCCCCACCCCCCCCACGCCATTTCTTTCTTCATCGTCAAAGATGTCCAGGGGGTCACCATGCCTGACAACAACAAACATATACTCTCGTTTGTAGGGATGAATACTGCTCAGATTAGTATCTGGTATCACTTCAAAACTGCTTGTTGTTTTCCATCATATCCGTGCAAGATGCAAAACATTCCTAACTGTACTCGGCCCTAAAACTGTTGCAGGATGTTTTACAGCTTTTCTCTTTTATTTACCATCTTTTATTAGATATTTGTAGTTATATTTGTGTACCCATGAAAGTAAAATAGGTTGTACACAGGTGAGTTATATAAAAGTGAACAAAGAAAACGTAAACACATTATATTCAACATTATATACTTTGATAACTATATACAGTGAAAGAAGAGGAAGAGAACATTTGCATGCCTTCCTTCCTGGGAAAGAAGACAGGTGTGTGTGTGTGAGAGAGAGAGAGAGAGAGAGAGAGAGAGAGAGAGAGAGAGAGAGAGAGTGTGTGTGTGTGTGTGTGTGTGTGTGTGTGTGTGTGTGTGTGTGTGTGTGTGTGTGTGAGTGAGAGTGAGAGTGTGAGAGTGAGAGTGTGAGAGTGAGAGTGTGTGTGTTGACATGGGGACACCTGGTGATTGTCATTCGACAGAGGGAGGAGGAAAGGTGGCGGTGTCATTCAAAAGAGGGGGAGTTGTATCCAAAATCCGGCACCACTTTACAATAAGACTACTCTTATAAAGGGTTTACGAATAGTATGTCACTCATTTATTAATTAGGTTGTGAACACTTTATAAATCATTAATAAGCTTTTATAAGGCATGAGATAAACAGGGCACCTGTGATCGGTTGCTTGCCAAATAGTGAGCCCACATTTATATGTACTGCTAAGCCTTATATTGGCTACTGTTAGAAATTAAAATCAATGTTGATATGGCGTAATTTGAATAAAATTCACTATTTGATTTAAATCA